CACACACACACACACACACACACACACACACACACAGGATCCTCGATGTTTCATGAACCACTAGAGTTTCGTCACCAACATTTAGAACAAGTAATATATTATAATATAAAAGTCATTGGTAAATTAAACAATTATAATAATACATATTGTAAAATGAGTTAATGCTTTGTTTAAAAAACTGGGGATGATTTTCAGCTACACCCACGCCAAGTTTTGAAGCAATGTCTGAAAGAAATTGATGGAGTTAATAATAATTAATTATTATTAAACAAATAAATACTTAGGTTGATTTGCTGTGAAAGTTATCCTGCCTGAATAAATACATTTTAAAAAATCATTTGTAGATGTTCATTTATTATTTTATGCGTTTTATTTAAACCTGTTCCGTAGGTCGTGAGATATTTTGCTAACAGAGAAAAACCAGTCTGGACTGGTTGTAGTACCGAGCAGCGCCGCTGGGAGGCGGAAGACACGAACTGATCAAAACATTCACAATCTCAGCAAACATGCCGCTGAGCTTAAGTCTGAAAACTTTCATTATGAAGCTTTTTCTGCACATCACACCCAGAGACGTCATTAGACTCAGTGACCGAAAGCATAAATGTTAAACATGTTAAAGAATTCATGTCAATTTAACAAAACAAACATCGACAGTTGTTGTAACTTTCGATTAGTTTTCTTTTCTTTTCTTTTCAACTTTAGTTCGTTCTAGTGCCCGACTTAGTTAAACTTATTACGATAGTTTAAAGTTTTAACTCTACTGTTTCGTTTTTGTTGTGTGTTTACTAAAAACAAAATAAAAATGGCGCTTTATTTACAGAAAATTGGCCCGTTTCGTTTCCGGTAGTTGTGGTGGATTGACACGGTTCTTGTGACACTCCTCCTCTCAGCATGGAAAACACACCTTAGTCCAGGCTCTTCTGCAGAAAAACAACTTTTAATCCTCCACGACTAAAGAACGGATTATGGATTCCTCTACAAACAGTTTGGGTGAGTTAAAATAATTAAAATGAGCGAATCTTTATGTCTGCAGGTAATTACTGTGTTTAAACCCATTGCTGTGGAGGGACTTACCAGCCTGTGAAGAACTCATATAATAAAACCTTTTCTTTTAGTTTCGGTTCGTGGAGCTGAAACACAGAACATAACCGTCACCGTGATATAAAAGAATTATAGTTTCAGCTTCATTCGGCAGTAGTGTTTGATACAAAGCAGCTTTGTAAAGAGGATAAAAGTAGAGTTTTTTTAACCGGAGCTGCCGCATTCCTCTGATTTCAAAGTGACTGAGACAAACGTGGAGTTCATGTTCTGCTGAAACACGGAGTTTTGAACAACTTGTGTCACTGTTTTTTGTTTGCACGAAAACTGTGTGTGTGTGTGTGTGTGTGTGTGTGTGTGTGTGTGTGTGTGTGTG